GGAGCTCTGTAAAAGAAATGCGGGTTTGTGTGTGTCTCCAAACAATTCAGCATGCTTTACAAACTGCAGCTCCCAGGATGCTTCGTGAGAAGCCCCAATGGTTTTGATGATGCTTTAAATGAATAGTGTGGATGGGGCCTTAGTGTTCAAAGTTATGTGCCACATGCAGGCTGGGTTCAAACCCCCAGCTCAACCATATCCTCAGTGGGGAAATCACCATTGTTAGCTTCTACAACCGAAAAATGAGAACAAACCACACAATTCTAAGGAGGAGCAAGACAGTGCAGTATCAAATATCTTCTCTAAAACCTAGATGCTACTTAAACAAAAAGGGTGGTGGTGTTAGGAAAACCAAATGCCAATCCTTCTCACACCCACACCATGTTGGTTACTAAATGTTTCAAGGACACAAACACTTCTGCACGTGCACAGTCTTAATCAGAATCTGGTCAACTGACCAAGGGTTTTTCATCTAAGGCAGACTTCCACAGTCTAGTGCCCTCCAAATGATTTGGAGTACACTACCCATGCTGGCTGGGGCTGATAGGAGTTGTAGTCCATAATATCTGGAGAGCATCACACTGAGCTCAGGGCAGTCCAAAGAAGCCTTTTTAAATTCTCAATTCCACCTCCAATACAATTTCTCACTTTAGAACTGTAGCTCCCCCTTGCCAGGGAAAAGAGAAAAGTAAAGAGAGTCAGAAAATATCAAAGATATAGGTGTCAGAAGGAGAAAATAAAGCGAAACAGGGAAATATTAAATCAGCATCGTGTGAAATGAGGAGGGACACCAAGGAAAACAAATTTACCTTTAGGTGCTAAGTAGGAGTATTATACCAAAGCTGTAGTCCTATATCCTCTTATCTGCAACTAAGGCACACTCAACTCAATGGGACTTGCTTTCTTGTATATAAAGCTTAGCTGTATAGTACTACTTTGAGAAAGCAAACACATCACACGTGAACCAATACCCTGCCATCCCGTGTAAAAGACGCCACAGCTCAGGTAGCCTCTTTGCCACCTTTGATGCAAGACATGATTTATGAATGACTTTCCCCAAAGCTGGGATCCTGCCATTATCTGTATGTTGCTCTTTCCTATCCCTTCCATACTTTGACAATTCAAGTATTTTGTTTTGTGGTCACACCTTCTTATTGAATTTATACAGTTCTGTTTGGAATGGTTTTACTTGTTTTATCATTGTAACTGTTTTATCTGTTTTCATAATTGTATACTGTATTGTCATTAGAGGTCTTGGGGTCTTGCGGTGAAAGGCAGATAAGAAATCTTTAAAATAACAGTACATCATAATCATCATCATTATTACTGTGAGCCTGCAGTGCTAAATGAAGACCAATCTGCTGCTGTTTTTCTAACTGAGTTGCTCAACTGCCCCATAAAGCATTTGCTACATTATGCTTTTGGAGTGTGTGAGGGAATAGCAATATGCTCAAATACAATTATGATTCTTAATTACAAATGTGTCTAGAGACTTTAAAAGCTGGGATTCTCTACAATTCCTGGCTACACGTATTTAAAACTGGCAAACATTTTTGCCACTATAAAGCAGTTGTGAGACTGACAGCCTTCTCCAGATGGCCAAAGGATGAACTAGGGAGCAAATTAGAATTGGCTCTTTCCCCTTTTAGCATTTAATCCTTGCTTGTCCCTGTGGCTGGGCTGATAAGAACACACTTCAAGGAACAAGGCAACCCAATGGGCCACCCTAGTTCCTCACTGCCATGCCAAGAGCCCTAGAACCAGCCTTCCACCCTACCCTAGGAGTGTGCATTTCTACTCTAACTCTCCAGTAGACATCACAGTACCCAGCAACCCACTGACCTCACTATATTGCAGGGCTAGTTCCATAACCCACCACATACACAGAAGAAAGCCCCAACCTGTCATTCTTGAGTTACAAACTCACACATCAACCACCCCTCTCTGTGATGAAGAATGTTTCATGCTGTCCAGTACCAGAAACTTTATTGTTGGCTAACTCTGGTTTTGCAATGCATTTATGTACCTAAACCTAGATTTGGGTGCAGCTCATTATGGGAAAGCGGAATATAAGTGAACCAATCAATCAGAAAAGCCACCAAACTCTGCACTCAACGCAGCTCATGAACAAACCTGCCAGACAACACCACCTTTGCAAACATGCATTTGTGTTGTGTTTCCAAGCGCAGTGCAGCACACTTTCAATACCTGAAGCGGCTAGTGTGAACAAGGGCAATCCAGAGCAACTGAAGAGACATTGGGTCAGTGGTTCTCAAGCTTTTCTTGTCTGGGCCATACAGTACTTTCGGAATAAAAACTTGCTTGTGGCACACCGAATACATTGGAAAACAAAAGCAAACAACTCCTGGCAGTGCTCGATTTATAACACAGAACACAACTGCTTTATACTATGATCATGGGACATCTAGAGAGTACAAAACAACGCAGCTACATAAGAACATGAATCATTACATTCAGCAGAGCATGAGACGCCTCAACTCAGGGTTTGTGGGGAAAAGATTCCTGCACTGCAGGAGGCTGGACTAGACGGCCCTCGCGGTCCAACTCTACAATTCCATGATTCCCAAAAAATAGTGTTTGCCCTTGAATCTTCCCCCTTGGAGAACCACTACATTCAGGCGAGTTGCCGGTGCGCATCAAGCCGTCTGCGGATCTGCCCCCAGCCGAAGCGAGCCTCACCGCGCCCCCCCCAGCCCAGGGCCGCCCACCTACCTGCGGCTGGACCAAGCCACCAAGGGCACCTGCCCTGTCTGCGCGGACACCAGACCCAGCAGCGCCAGAAGAAGAAGCCCGGCCGCCTCCCGCACCGCCATCTTGCCTTCCCTGCTTCCTTGCTCCTTCCAGCAGCAACGCTTCCCCTGCGCGCCCCAGCCAATCAGGACGCTGGGGAAACGACTCCCGGGGAGGCAGCCAGTCAGGGCGCGAGGCGGGACCCGCGGCAGCCAATGGGAGGCGCCTGCTCCGCGCTGTTTCCTCCCCCGCCCCCCGGCCTCCCACTTCCTGCCCTTCCTGCCATTCAGTCCCGTCCGCTGTCGCGCGTTTGGCTCGGCGAGAGGGAAGCCGAGCGTCGTGGCGCTTCGCCAGCTTTGGCCGCAGTGACGCAGGCCTCGGCCACGTCCCATGTTGACTACTGCAGCGCCCTCGATGTGGGGCTGCCCTTGGCGAGTGCGCTGACCGGGCTGGTTATCTAGGGAGAACACGGCTCCCTTGCTAGCGTAAAAAAAAATTTAAGGTCTTAGATATATAAAATATACATCATAAATGTTCATAAATGTACCAACCAAGCACTACATAGACATGTGGACATGTCTTTAGCAGTACAGTGGTACCTCGGGTTACATACGCTTCAGGTTACAGACTCCGCTAACCCAGAAATATTACCTTGGGTTAAGAACTTTGCTTCAGGATGAGAACAGAAATTTTGTGGCGGCAGCGGGAGGTCCCATTAGCTAAAGTGGTGCTTCAGGTTAAGAACAGTTTCAGGTTAAGAACGGACCTCCAGAACGAATTAAGTACTTAACCCAAGCTACCACTGTACAGGAAGACCACCCTGAAATCATTTTCACTCCCAAACTGACCAAATGTTTCACTGCAAGGAGGGAGGGCGTGAGAGAACCTTTCCATTGTCTCAGGAATTGGGTAATCACCATCTCAGAGGAATGGCCAGACTACCAGGAAAGGCAATCAGATAAGGCATTATCAGATAACCTGGCAGACGGGAAAAACAACATTCAAATTTCTGTTGTAGACCGCCTTTTCTGTGATGTAGGTATGATGTTTGTGGGGGGTGGTCTTGGGTTACACCCCTTGATGTATGTATGATATAGGGAGGGGTGGTCTTGAGCTCCAGGGCAGGGAATTTAAAATGTTTATATAAGGGCAGGCACACCTTGGTTCTGGGTCCTCCTCCTTTCCTGCGTGTGAGGGGAGTGCGTGTTGCAACAGTTCAATAAAGTTCAATAAAGATCAGGCTTACTAGCTGCTTTGCTTCTCAATATTCTCTGCTTGGCCCCTGTTATTTTCTCCTACCGATGGAGAACCTACAAAGGACTCTATAAGGGCTCTCGTGTCCCCCATAGGGGAATAAGGGCAGATTTTGTTTACAACACTAGAATACTCTCCTCAGAGAGGCTCGCTTGGCACCTTCATTACATATATTTGACTCATTAACATCCTATGGCCTTTAATTGTCTGTGGAAGGGAGTTATTAGAGGTTGTTTTTACTTCCGCTTTTGTTGTATTATGTTTTTGTGTTTTCATCTGTATTTTAATGCTGTGAACTGTGATCTTCAGATCAGGGGCAGTATACAAATTTAATCAGTAAAATAATAACAATAATAGAACAGCTCCACTGCCTCCTGGTCTGTTTCCACGTATAATTCAAAGTGCTGGTTATGACCTATAGAGCACCATACAGCTTGAAGTCCAGACTATCTGAAAGTCCATACAAACCTGCCTAGGTTCTGAGATCTTCGGGGCAGGCCCTATACTCGGTCCCACCACCCTCACAGACGCACTTGGTGGGGATGCAGGATAGGACCTTCTTGGTGGTGACTGATACCATAAGCTGACCACCACTCCACCCACTCTTACAAAAGGAAGGGTTTGCTTCTGTGGATGGGATGGCTGTTGTTAGCCAAGATGCAGCACCATATGGAAACAAGCCCACACTTCAGCAGAAAAAGAAATAAAGACTGCACTGGATTGGAAAGAGACAAAGATTTTCCAGAATCAGCTGAAAATCAAAACAGTAGCGGTACCTAAAGTGGCCACGTCACTGAGGTGCATCAGGCCAAGGAAGCTGCCTAACTGCATGGGTCCTCTGGGCAAGAATTGTTGCAGATTCTTCCAGCACTTCATGAATCAGGCCACAAATATCAGAAAGACTGTCTCCTTCCCTACAAAGCCTCTCAGGTCTTAAGGTCAGCAGAGGGTCGTCATGCTCAGAAGTTGTGGACTGGATGGTGGCCCAGAAGACAGCAGTCTTTTTAGGCTGTGGAATCCCTCCCCAGAGAGCTGCATTTGGCAGATTTCATTATGACACAGCTCTTTATCCTGGCCTTTTGACACCAGAGATATTTTTCAGGACCTGCTCTAATTCCATCTTTAAAAACTAGTTTCAATAGATTTACATTGTAACCTGCCCTGAGACCTGATGGTGAAGGACAGGTAAGAAATATTATTATTATTACAGTGGTACCTCGGGTTAAGAACTTAATTCGTTCTGGAGGTCCGTTCTTAACCTTAAATTGTTCTTAACCTGAAGCACCACTTTGGCTAATGGGGCCTCCTGCTGCCACCGCGCTGCCGGAGCACGATTTCTGTTCTCATCCTGAAGCAAAGTTCCTAACACGAGGTAATATTTCTGGGTTAGCGGAGTCTATAACCTGAAGCGTCTGTAACCCGAGGTACTACTGTACTGCTGAAAAGGGAAGGTCCATCCTGGCCAGTCTCATCAGAGTCATCTTCCCTCACTGCCCACAGTGGTAAGTCAAGGTAATATTGAAATGGGTATTGTCAGGGAACTGACATCAGAGCGAGAGGCGAAGGGGAGGCTCCTGGATGATGCTGGAGAAGGACCCAGCAGCAGGGGGAGAGGCGACTCAGTGGAGGGGGAAGCATTTAAGCGCAACACCAGGAACAAAAGTGAGCAGATGGGAAAATCGGAGAGAGGGCTCACGGACTCTTCACTGGAACTCAGTGAGGAGGGGACAGGTCCCCCGCTACCCACGCCCACCCTGCGCAGAAGGCTCCCGCGCAGTGAGAGGCGGAGGCGATTGGGTGTCAAACAGCTCTTATGTTGGAAGAGATTCAAGAAACGCCCACTGACGGATTCTGCTAGTGACTGAGACAGTCCTGATCAGAAGGGGCTGTGCAGTCAGAAAGGTTTAACAAGGCAAATCAGCCTAGAGAGGCACCAGTTTACGCACGAGTAACTCATACTCATTACAGCAATCCGTCAGTCGCTGAAAGTTGCTCGTGCGCAGCAGCAGGCAGGCAGCATCATGAGCAAGCCCGGAGAAGCAGGCACCCAAGGGGAGCAGCTGGAGGGCAAGCGCTGGAGGAGAGGAACCGAGATTTGGAGCAGCATGTGGCCATTCTGGCGGCACGGCTGGACGAAAGGCGGTCTCAAGATGCACAGGTCAGACCCACCCCCATAGCAAGGAAGGTACCGGGACTGGTGCACAAGTTTGGGGGGAAGCCGCAAGAATACAGTGCGTTTAGAACGGAAATAGAGTATGCATTGGACTTGCAGCATAACGATTTTGAAGACGACGCGGCGCGTCGTGGCATATGTTGTGGGTCACCTGCAGGACGGGGCCAGAGAATGGGTCAGACCCCTTATGGCGACGCAGAATTCCGCCATGCAGGACCTGAGGAAATTCTTCCAAGCGATGGACGCGATGTTTTCCACTGATGTTCAAAAAAGTGTGACTAAGCGGGAATTGATGAACTGTAAACAGGGCAGCCAGTCAGTCAGGGACTACTGGTCGCGCTTTGCCATGATAGTTCATCGCCTCGGGTGGGAACTGGGCTCCGAACCCATACAGATGTTATTCGAGGAGGGTTGTCCCCAGCGGTTAAGGATGAACTTTCCGCGCACCCCGCCCACAGGGGATGGATCAGCTGACCAAGGCTGTGCTTGCGGTTGGCGCGCGCCAGGAGCGCGGGCCCAGGAGAGGCGGGAAGGGAGAGAGCAACGTTGCCATGACTACCGCATTCCTGAAATACCAAGGCAGCCCTCCCCGCCAGCAGAGCCAATGGAAATAGATGGGGGGGGCGCGCGGGAAGTTTCAAGCAGCAGCGAAGGGCGCAAGAAGGAGGGAAAGGATTGGAAAACCTCCAAAAGGTGTTACCTTTGCCAGCGGCCAGGGCATTTTGCCAGAGCCTGCCCTCAAAGAAAGGCTTGGCAAGGAATGGTGGGAGCCGCAGGGGGTGAGGAGGAGGTGGTAAAGGAACAGGAACAGGGAAACGAGAACGCTTGGCTGCCAATCAAGGGGCACAACAGCCAAGCCAACCACCAGTAAAAGTGCCCCAACCAGACCCCCCCAAGGCGGCAATAGCCATCGAGTGGTGCTAGAACTCCCAAACGGGCACCCAGTCAAGGTGAAAGGCATGCTGGATTCAGGCAGCTCATGTAATTTCTTCAGCAAGGACTTTGCATTAGAGCACCAGCTCCACTTACTGCCTTTGGATTTTCCCTTGCAAGTGACCACCATTGATGGCAGGGAGCTTCTAGGAGGAAGTGACACACCAAACCCCGCCAATGAGAATGAGGGTGTCCAGGCACTCGGAAACCATCGCCTTTCACGTCGCCTCGCTAGCAGGACCCCCAATAATATTAGGGATGAGCTGGCTAGCACAACATGATCCAGTGGTGGCGTGGCATCAGAGGACAGTCACCTTTGGATCAGCTTACTGCCTGGAACACTGTCTAGGGGAAGCCCCAAGAATGACCGTGGCCAGGGTGGCTGGGATGGCGGTGGAGCGGAAAGGGGAGGTGCCGCCACAATACGCAGATCTGCGGGAGGTCTTCAGCGAAAGGAGGCAGATAGACTGCCACCCCATAGGCCCTTTGACTGCCAGATCAACTTGCTTCCGGGGGCTCAGCTGCCAGTGGGTAAGCTGTACGCCATGTCAGACAGGGAGATGAAGGAGTTGCGAGAATTTATCGACAAGAACCTGAAAAGAGGCTTCATAAGAGAATCAAAGGCAGTAGGGGGCAGTCCGGTGTTCTTTGTGGACAAAAGGACACAAATAAACCCAGGCTCGTAGTGGACTATAGAGCTGTCAATTTGGTGTCAGAACCCGTGACCTTCCCAATGCCCAGGATTGACGACATTTTAACGCGAGTGAGGAAAGGCAAAATTTTTACCAAGCTGGACCTCAGGGGCGCATACAATTTGATCAGGATGAGGGAGGGGGACGAATGGAAGACCACAATGTTCACACCCCTAGGTGCCTTTGAGTACTTAGTTATGCCTTTTGGATTACAGTCAGGCTCCGCCTGCTTTCAAGCTTTCATGCACCGCGTGTTGGGGTCTCTGCTGTACAAGAACTGCGTAGCCTTCTTGGACGACGTCTTAATTTATTCGGACAATGAGGAACAACATGTTAGAGACGTCAGGGAAGTGTTACAACGACTGCAGAAGCACCAGTTGTGGGTCAAGCTGGAAAAATGTCAGTTTCACGCCAGAGAAGTCGAGTTTCTGGGGTACAAGTTGTCTGACAAAGGCTTAGCGATGGACCCAAGCAAGGTGCAGGCAGTGCTGGGTGGAAGGCTCCCAAGACACGGAAGGACGTACAGAGGTTCCTAGGGTTCAGCAACTTCTACAGGAAGTTCATCAAGAACTTCGCCCACTTGACAGCGCCAATCACGGATTGTCTCAGTAGCAAAAAGAAGTTTGTGTGGACAGAAGAGGCCCAGCAATCCTTCGAAAAACTGAAGAAGGCGTTCGCATCGGAAGAGCAACTCCTGCACGTAGATCTGGAGAAACCCCTGAGGCTAGAGACCGACGCGTCCGACAGAGCCGTGGGGGCGGTCCTTTGCAACCAGGGAAGGGAAAGCAGGAATGGAAACCGTGTGCCTTTTTCTCCAGAAAACTGAGCAAGTCGGAGCAAAACTATACAGTGTATGACCGCGAACTGCTGGCAATCTACGCGGCCTTTCGTCGTTGGCGTCATCTACTGATAGGGCGCAACAACAGATCCAGGTTTGCACAGATCACAAGAACTTGGAGTACTGGAGAACCGCACGAGTACTCAGCCAGAGACAGATTCGATGGGCACAGGAGTTCTCCAAGTTTTCTTTGAAATCCGCTACGTGCCCGGAGAAGAAAGCGTAGAGCAGACGGCTCTCTCGCGTAAACCGGGTACCTGGAAGGAGAGGGCCGCCGGAGAAACGACACGTGATCCCGAGGACCGATGGGTGTGTGGGGAACTTTGGTGGGGAAACGAGAACTAGCCGGGCTGACCAGAAGCGACGTGTTCGCGCAAACTAAAATCCGGGAACTACGAAACGGAAGAGGGACCCAAGAAGGGTTTGAGGAGAAGGAAGGGTACTGTACTATAGGGGAGCGCTGTACGTGCCGGGGAAACCCTGAGGGAAAAGTACTCAAACAACTCCACGACAACCCCACAGCAGGGCACTTTGGACAGCACAAAACCATGATGCTGGTGACCAGGCAGTTCTGGTGGCCCAGGGTGAGGGAGGATGTACGGGAATATGTACGGGGTGCGACCGCTGCCAAAGGGCAAAGGGGAGCGGGCTGCCCCACAGGATTGCTGGAACCCTTACCCACGCCGGGAAACCCTGGGAGGTGGTATCCATTGATTTTATGACAGATTTGCCCAAGTCCCGGGAAAGACAGCAGTCATGGTAGTGGTCGACCTACTGACAAAAATGTGCCACTTTATAGCTTGCTCACATGCTGTAACGGCAGAGGAAACAGCCCGGTTGTTTGTGGAGCACATATTCCGGCTGCATGGCGCCCCTTGAGGGTTATCTCCGACCGCGGAAAACAATTTACTTCCCGGTTCTGGAGGAAACTCATGAGCTTACTGCAGGTGGAGGTGGGTTTCTCGACGGCGAGACACCCAGAGACCAACGGGCAAGCAGAAAGAGCGAACAGTATACTCCAGCAATACCTACGCTGCTATGTCAGCGAGAGGCAGAACGATTGGGTAGAAAAACTAGCGCTGGCTGAATTCGCGTACAACAACGCGGAACACGTGTCCACGGGAATGAGCCCATTCATGGCCAGCCATGGGGGGCATCCCCGGGCCTGCCCGGGAGTGGGGAGGAAAGCTGGAGCGTACCCGCCGCAGAGCAGTTTGTGGAGGAAATGGAGGCTCTACACCAGCAACTTAAGATGAACTTGGAGCGGGCCAAGGAAGCTTACAAGAGGCAGGCAGACAAGCACCGCAGGGAAGGGAGACCATACGGGTGGGGGACCGGGTGTGGTTGTCCACCCAAGGGCTACCTTTCAAAGGGGGTGCAGAAGTTGCAGCCCAGGCGGCTGGGACCTTTGAGGTAACACAGCAAGTTAATCCCGTGGCATTTAAGCTCAGGTTGCCTGATAGCATGAAAATACACCCGGTTTTCCATAGGTCCCTGCTTTCACCGCATAGGGAAGGGCGGGAATTCCAGGGGCAAGAGGGAGAAGTCACCACACACCCGCAGGTAGAAGAAAGGGAACACCACCACAGGGCCACGGAAATACTGGACTCCAAGGTGGCAAGGGCGCCGGGTGGAGTATTTGGTAGCGTGGGAAGGGAACCCAGGTCCGAGAACACGTGGGTCCCCACGGAAGCCGTCGAGGACAGGTATCTGGTGGAGGTATTCCACCACCGGTTCCCGGACAAACCCAAACCCCTGGAGAGATTCTGGGAGGAGCAATTTGGAACCACAGATGAGGAAGAGGTTTTTGAGGGATTTTCTGACTCCGAGGAGGGAGGAGAGGTTTCGGAGGAAGAAGCACCAGGCAGGGAAGACCACCCCGTTGGTAGGTGGAA